CACAGATGTGTCAGATGTGTATGCATATACTTCTTTGGTTCTACTTTTTTCTTCCCATGTCTTCATAAACTCTTTGATTACATGACTTTGAATGACCATCCAGTATTCTCTTGAGGGGAGGAGGAGGGCAAGGCACAGCTGTTTTATTAACTCCTGTTTGGTTTTTTCCAAACATAGAAATTCTAAGTGTTTATGATTAGAAGGATCAAGAGTGGTTGACTTTCAATCTACCAGGTCTAGGTTTGGGGACGTTCTTGTCCTTGCTGGTGGGCATAGAGGCGACCTGGGTAGCTGGGGTGAGTCTGCCATGGGGTGCATATATTCAGCTCATGGGTGTTTCCAGCAGCCTACCAGAGTCTCCCATCGATAGCCACAAACTCCTTCCTCTGGCCCTTGGAGAACTGCACTCTGAGGACTCCCAGCCAGTTGCCTTTGGTGTGGAGAATGGGGTCATGGGTGGCTCCTCAGGCTGGTGAGGGCCTTCCCCAGCCAAGCCCTACAACCACGCCTGACTCCTCCATTTGCTGAGGAACACATGAGCACTGTCCCTGCCCCCATGCCAACACCTGAGGTGTGGCTAGGTGAAGGCTGAACACAGCTGAGGTCCACAGCCCTGGCAGCTGCCACACACTTTGGGCAGTGACTGCCCTGTGGAGCCTGCTGGTTTTGCAGAGAAGATGGTGCAACTCCAGGATCGCCGCCAGGTAGTTTGCACACCTGGAGCCAGTCACCACATAGAAATCATGGACCCTGGTCTCTCTGAGCCCCTCTCTTTACTTTGTGAGTTTGTGAGGGAGGAGGTCATTAAGTGGTAAGTAGACCATTATCATTGGTCATGGCAGAGAAACAGCCCCTGGGGCTGGAGACCCTGGGTGGGCACAGGCAGGGACATCCACCAGGTCACTCATAGAACAATGGCAGATGGTGCCTGGAATCAGGTTTGCCTTCCAGCTTCACATACCTTGGGACAGCAGGTAACCCAGGAACAGTAGCCATTTTCCCATTTCCAGTTATCAGCAGGTTTAGCCGGATCCCCACTGTGTAGAGCCCTTGATGGCTGAAGTTAGAGATGCAAGCTGCCTCCTCCTAAACCTTTGCTTCCTGTGCCTGAGAAGGGAGCCTAGGAACCTCCAGGGGTATGGCAGTCAGCCCTATGTGTGTTGTGTCAAAACAGTTGGGGGGGGATGGTGCAAGTCAGCAGGCAGAGGCTGGGAGTTGAGTAAACCTTGAGGGCATGGACTATTGCTTAACTGGCCCTGGGAAACCCAGTGCTGGCACCCTGGCCTTGGGTGGGCCCGAGCAGCCCCACTCACACCCCGTGGTTCTGTTACCCTCCTTCACCAGCCTGTTCTTGCTTTCAGACTCTCCATAGGAGGCCCTGGTCTCTCTCCTGGGCACCTGAGCTGCAGCACTCTCCTTCCCCTGTTTGGTCTCTTCATGTCTTTGCACCTCAGTCTGTTACTTTGGCCTGACATACTCTTCCTTCTCATTTTCTGAGAGCTCAGACTCTGCTCATCTTTCTTTCATTCTTCCTGTTGATATCTATTGTGCCCTTTCTATGAGTTCTATCCATACTGGTCTAGTCCCTGAGGAGCCATCAATGAACAAGTCAGACCATGTCCCTGGCCTCATAGGGCTGACAGAAGTAGGGGGGCAGCCTGCAGACCTACCTATGAGTCAATGAAGAGGTGATTGAAGGTGGCCATGGGTCTTTATTAAGGGGTGAGGAGTGCCCGGGGTCAGGTGAGATGCCACCAGGCTGAGAAACCTGCAGGGACCAAGGTAGGAGTAGAGGCAAGTGAAGCTAGAGGGCCAAAAACAAGGGGAGTGGAGAAGAGATGAGTTAGCATGTGAGTAGGTAGACTGAGGCACAGAGCTGGCTTACTGAGGGAGATGCAGCCCTAAAGTCTTCAGGCAGAGGGGCTAGAAGTTCCTTCGCTGGGGATCAGGGATGGCCAAGGTGGTGGGCAGGAGAGGACATGGAAGTACTCGTATGCTTCTGGGATCCTTCGCCCTGCTTCTCTTTAGGACCCCTCACCTTCCATTTGCCCTCTGTCACTGTAGGGCCTGTGGAACCAAAGAAGATGTGCATTGTCTGGCAAGTAGTTTTATGGGGTCTCTCCCATCCCCAGAGGTGCCTTGAGTTAGGGGCTTTGGACCAGAGGCTGGTGACAGGCTGCATGAGGTCCGAAAGAGGACTGGCTCAGTATCCAGCATACAGCCAGTGCCCAGGCAGATTTGTAAAGTGACATGCTCACCTATGTTGGACAGATTGGGAAGCAGGGGAAGACTCTCTCCTTGGAGTCCCTGTGGCCTGGACTAGAGTGCAAGGCCAACTCTGCCATGTCCTGGCTCTGGGACCTTGGCAAGCTCTTGAACTCTGAACCTCAGTTTCATCAGTAAACTGGTGATTCCATGTGATGAGGAGTTATGCTCTGCTCAATTCAGGCAGCATTGTGTCTCCTCACCTTGCCACTCTGCCAAGTAGTAGGGCAGGGTGTGTGCTGCAGCAGCACAGTGCCTCTTATAGAGGCCCAGCAAGGGCCCAACACAGTCTCTATCCCCTCCCCCTGCACCAGCCTGGCACTTGTGATTTCCTGAGCGGGTCTCTGCCCTGTCAGCTCCCATCTGGGACCTCAGATGTGAATTAACTAAAGGCTCCCATGAGCTGGCTGTATACTTTGTGCCTTAGCTGTTGATCAGATCTCTTTCTCTGGTAGGCCTGAGGGATAGCTAGAAAACACACTCTCCACCCATGCAGCATGACCAAGTTTGCGGGAGGCCAATTTGTAATCCAGTGCTTTTTGTTCTCTTTGCAAGTGCCCCAGAACCCTCTCCCACTGCCTTCTCCCTCTCTCGTCATCTGGGGGAAGGACTGACTTGGTGCAGGTATCATTGGAGAAACTGCGGAATAGTAGAAAAACAAGCTGGAGAGGAATGTGCATTTCTGTCCCACAACCATGGGGCCTGCAACAAGGTGCAGGATCTCTGATTCTCTCCACCCTGGCCCAACCAGAAGGAAGTCTTTTTTTTTTTTTTAGTTGGAGTCTCACTCTGTCGCCCAGGCTAGAGTGCAGTGGCACGCTCATAGCCACTGCAGCCTCAACCTGCTGAACCTTCCACCTCAACCTTCCAAGTAGCTGGAACTGCAGCCGCCACACCTGGCTAATTTTATTTATTGTAGGGACGAGGTCTCACCAAGGGGTTCAGGCTGGTCTTGAACCCCTAGGCTCGGGCAATCCTCTCACCTCTGCCTCCCAAAGTGCTGGGATTTACAGGCTTGAGTCACCACGCCAAGCCTAGAAGGAAGTTTTTGATGGGGCTTTATTTTCTAGGTTTTCTTAGGAAAACAATGGCTACTGTGGAGATGCTTCTTCAAGCCAGATTCTCCCATCTCCTCCCCCTGCTCTGAACTGCTGCTTCTCAAAGAGGTCTTCTGGATACTTTTTTATTACCCCCAAGGAGCCCCCAAAACAACTCTAGGGTAATTTTTCTCAGGCCGCCTGAACAGCACAGGCTTGTGCCCTGAGTCTTACGGGGTCACACAAGCAGGAGGAGAGGTTTGCCACAGCAATGAGCCCCAGTGGCCCTAAGGGAGAGGAAGAGTGTGCACAGGCTCAGACACCTGGGTGGTCTGGCCTGCCCATGCTCTGGCCTCGTAGCCTATGGTCAAAGCAGTTCCTCACTGGCTCCTCACTGCCTCACAGGCAGCCACATCTGATCCCCTCCACCTCTTTGGCAGGGTCTGGCTGCCCCGCCTGTCTGGGTTCTTGCCTCAGTGAGTCTCCCAGCCTCATAACAGCCATGTGCAAACCACTGCCCACATGTCAACTCCTCCTGGAGCCTCCCTGACCTTCTCGAACTGGGGCAAAGGTCGGTCTCCTTTGCACCCTACCTCCGTAGTCAAGTAAGCTCACCTGTGGGATTAGAAGTGCAAGTAACAAGCTGGGTGCGGTGACTCACGCCTATAATCCCAGCACTGGGAGGCGGAGGCGAGAGGATTGCCTAAGCCCATCGATTTGAGACCAGCCTGTGTAACTTGGTGAGACCTCATCTCTACAATAAATCAAGAAATTAGCCGGGCATGGTGGCACATGCCTGTAGTTCCAACGACTTGGAAGGCTGAGGCAGAAGGATCACCTGAGCCTAGCCAGTTGAGGCTGTGGTGGCTGTGAGTGTGCCACTGCACTCCAACCTGGGCAACAGAGTGAGACTCGTAAACTCAAAAAAAAAAAAAAAGTTCAAGTAACAGTCTCCTGTCCCATGAGTTTACCTGTGGCTAATTAGATCAGTGATAGACACCTGCATGAGCTGAGCCTCTCAGATCTCCCTTAGACAAGACTTTGAACCAAGTGTCACTTGAGCCCAAGGGGTTGTGACTGAGCACTGATGCAGAGCCTCTTTCCTGGGCTGCCCGAGGTCTAAGCCAGTGAGAAGTCCCCAAAGAAGGCCAAGGCAGCCAGACCCACTACTCACCCTCTAACCTTACTGCACCATAGTTCATAGTTCCCCATGGGCCTGGATTCTACCAAGAGGTCCCATTGCCCAGAGATCACCACCCTGAGCCACTGTTATCAGAGCCAGGACCTCTGAGTGTGGGACAACTGTGCACACACTGACCATGAGTCAGAAGCACTGCTGATTCCTGACAAGTCAGGGCTGCTGTTTGGACTAGTGGGGCTCCCCAACAAAGGTGGGCACTGGATCCATGTGGCCCCTTTGCAGGGTTCGTCAGCCAAAGGGTCCCTGTCAGGACCTACCTGGGCAATCTGAGGCCACACTCCTAAGTCAGCTGTACAGGCAAGAGATCAGTTCCAGAAATGCATCCCACAGCCCCGTGATCAAAGCCCATGGCAGAGCTGCTTGGAACTGCACGATCAATGTCTTCAGAGCTGCTCACGGTTTGCCAGTGCAGCCAGGAAGGAGGGGACCGCCTGCTTCCCTGTGGGCGCCCTGAGCAGCCCACACACTCACTTCCAACCTACTTCTTGTTTCCCCAGAACCTCCAGTGGGCCCGCGACGTGTTGCTAGGCAGCAGTATCCCATGGCAACAACTGCAGCACATGCCGGCACAGGGGCTCTTCTGCGAGAGGAACAAGACCAATTTCTTCAACGTGAGTACTTTGCCTTGTTGATTTCCAAGGCTGCTTGCTGCCACTGCTTTTTACTGAAGGCGTGCGAATTGACCCCCTGGGTGGGCGTTCCCAGGGCCTCAGGTTTGCAGCATTTCCGAGGGCAGGCAGGGTGGCTCAGTTTAGAGTACGCCAGACTTGGGCGTGGGGTGTGATTACTGAGCGACTTCTGGCAAGTCGCTACCCCCTCTGGGCACCAGTTTGCCCTTCTACGGGGAGAAGCATTGACAAGTTCAGCTTGTTATCTGAAGCCCCTGGTATTCTGGGTCCACATAGGCAATGGTGAGAGGGGCTCTAGGCTCAGGGTCCTGCTCCTGCTGGAGCAGCTCCTCCCACCCCTCTGTAGTCTTAGACACCTATAAGATTCTCACTGAAGCCGACTTGACTGCTTAAAAAACAAGTGTAGCCAGTGCTGGGCTTTCAGTGCCTATCCAGCCCTGATATTCTGTGTGGGATTCTTTGAGGCCTGTCTGCCTCTTGCCTCTCCTTGACACTCGCCCAGACCCAGCCCTCCCTCATTTGCAGTGCCCTGAACAGAGACAACTGGCCCCTCACTCCCCTCTACTTCCAAGTCTTCACCATCCCCTACCACTCCTCCCAGCACAGCCAGCTCTCAGCTGGGTGGCTCTGGCAAGTCACACAGCCCCTCTGAGCTTTGATTTCTTTGTATTTTCCCTGATTCCCCATTACTCATAGAGAAACTGAAGGATGAGTTGACCTAGGAGCTGAGGAAGGCAGGCAGGTCTCAGGTCTGGAGAGGTGTGACAGAGGCAGGTTCTCAGGGTGCAGGGCTGGCAGGTCCCCACTGAGATCCAGTCAGGACGTAGGAGTGTCTGGGTCTGTGACTCCTCCCTTGTCCCAGGCTGTGATCTTCTGGGGGGAGGGGGAGGGCTCCAGAGCCTAAGAGCACTATGCCTGTCCACCTTTTCTCTGTTGTTATAGACAAGCAGTAGGTGTCATCAGTAATCAATCCACATGGTACCAAGGGATTTGCTGTGAAAGAGGTGTCCTCCCACCTGCATGCCCAGGCAATAGCCTTTTCCACAGCAGCCACTGTCCTTTGTCCTGTGTGTGTCCTTCCAGCACATATCTGTCCATTTACCAGTGCAAACCAGATATACCCAAAGGGCAGAGTACACACACTTTCACCCATTATATTTTTTCACTTAACAATATTATAATAGCTGCATATTACTCTCAACATATGGATGTCCCACTGTTTACCTACCCATACCTTACTGATGGGCACTTAGATTATTTCCAGCCTTTTGTTACTACAAACAATGCTTCAGATATATATCTCCTTTCACATTTGTGGGAGTCCATTCTTAGAAATAGAATTCCTAGATCAAAGGGTTTCTGGTGCCTTTAAAGTCCTTTTTTTCTTTTTATACCATAATAATTATTACATAGAAAGTCTTAATAGACATCACCCTTCAAAGACTACACTCCCAGCTTAGGTTCATTTTTTCAGACCTCCTCAACACTCTATTGAATTTTTTGAGGGGGTGGGGTTGGAGTCTCACTCTTGTCACCTAGGCTAGAGTGCAGTGGCATGCACACAGCTACCACAGGCTCGACCTGCTGAGCTTAGGAGATCCTTCCGCCTCAGCCTTCCAAGTAGCTGGAACTACAGACACATGCCACCATGCCACTAGTTTTTGATTTATTGTAGAGACACAGTCTCATCAAGTTACCTGGGCTGGTCTCGAACCCCCAGGCTCAGACAATTCTCTCACCTCGGCCTCCCAAAGTGCTAAGATTACAGGCTGAGCCACCACGCTTGGCCTTGAGTTTTTTAATATTTGTTCCTCAGTAGGTATAAATGGTATCTATCGTGTTTCATTTATTATGAGTCAGATTAACCATGATATCATGTAAATAGCTTTAACTTCTATGCAATTTCTACTCGTGTCCATTTTTCTATTGGATTATTGGTCTTTTTTCTTATACATTAATGAAATGAGCCCTTTGTAAGTGTTTTGCAAAACTATTTTTCTGCAGTTGGTATACTAAAGTTAGAGCCAAACAAGTTGCTTAATTTCTCCTCCCTGAGTTCATCACCTTAAAAATGGGTCTGCCTTGAAGAGTAACTAGGAATCAAGTTAGATAATGGGGTGATATCCCTAACACAGGATCTGGCACATAGGAAGCACTCGAAGATAGTTTCTCTCCCTCCTTGTTCCCCCTACCTTTGGTGCTGTGCCCTTAGAGACTACACAGTGATGTTGGAAGGAGAAGCCCAACCTCCATGTCTTCCTCATAGGTTAACCACTCAGCCTTTCTAATTATGAAGTTAAGGAAGCTGGCCCCTCAGATGCCTGCTTCCTCGTGACACATCCACACTGGCAGCCAGGTGCTCTGGGCCCCTTTCTCATTGAAATTGCTCTCCGCCCCTCCTCCTGGGTTTCTGGGATCTTCCAAAAATGAATCCTGCAGAAAGGTGGTCTGCAGCTGTGCCTGTGGGAGGGAAGACTAGTGCACAGTCCCTTATGGGGCTGGCACACAGGTATCACCTCCCTGCAACTAGAAGCCTCTGCAAATCTGAGCCACCCCAGCCTGGTCTCGGTGTTGTGGGTGGTTTTGTCTCTTTTAGGTCTGCAGTTCCTCCATGCTTCCCAGTGATCTGATGCTTTCACCACCCTCGGGGCTCCTTCCCAGCCTCCTCTGCTTTCTTACCTCTTCTCTTTGGAGGTGGGTTCGGGCTCCTTGTACTCCAAAAGCCATACCTGGCACCTAGTGTGTCAACAAATGCTGAGCAGACCCCTGAGCACACTCAGCACATGAGTCTGTGCAGCATATTTCCCAAGTGAGGAAACTGTATACTAGCACATTTATGAAGGAGCACTCAGGACAGCCTTCCACTGAGTCTGCTGGTTGGGCCATGTCTCTGGCAGATGGGTTGTAGGGCTGGCTCACTTCCCTTTCAACGTGCTCTGGGGTTTACTGCCTCTGGTGGAGGCTGGTCCTTGTGAGGAGGTGTAGGTGAGGTGAGGTGTAGATGAGGGTAGGGGCATCAGCACACTGACCTGCTGTCCTTCTAAGCCCACTATCCTGGGTCACCCACACCCAGCCCTGGTGTTGCTCACCCAGCTGTCTGGACAGCTCCCTTATCTGTGGGACCTGGGCAGGGGACTCTTATTATTTTTTAATGACAGTGTTTGAAAATCTGTGGGAGTTGTTATTTAGGAAAAACTCAGCTTTTACTCTGCTCTCACACCAACACAGACAGAAGACTTATGTGATGAAATGTGAGGGATTTCTCCCCACCAACAAGCAAGCAGTCAGTTCTGCAGCAGACACTAGCTGGGAGTCCCCTAATTCAATTTAATTCCAACACTCTGTACCTAAAGATAATGACAGATCCCACAGGTTAAGGGCTCAGTATTCAAAACTTCACCTTATTCAAACACCACTTGCAAGTCCAGGCCTCTGAAATGTCTGACCAACCAACTTCAAGGTGAGGTTCCCCATGACCCCCACTTTGGATTTGATTAATTTGCTGAGTGACTCATAGAACTTAGTGAAACACATTTACTGGTTTATTATAAAGTATATTACAGAGGATATGGAGGAAGGAGTGTGGAGCTTCTATGCCCTCTCCAGGCAAGCCACCCACCAGGAACCTTCATGTGTTCAGCTGATTTCAGAGGCATGATTGGAGCATTAACAACTGTGGCAGAATGTGATTGAACAAAATTATGATCTAAACCCAATAATGCCTATCTAGATTCTTCTTGCCCTCTACAGCATTCCTTCCTCCAGGGTATAGGACAGGACCCTCTCTGGAGTGAGGGTCTTATGACCCACAGTCAGATTAGAGTCCTTCCCTCAGCAGGTAAAAGGAGGGCAGGAGAAGATATAAGAGATTCTGTTTGTTGTAATAGGGCTGTGGGAGTTATGAACCAGGAAACATGGATAAAAAAACACATGAGGGGGAATCCAAAAAAACCAGACTTATCTTTTGGAGGGTGGGCCCTTTGTAATACATTCAAAATTTGCTCCTTTGGATCAAATGGTCAACCAAAGTTTTGTGGGGTTTGGGGGTTTTTTGGGGGTTTTTTGAGTTGGAGTCTGACTCTATTGCCCAGGCTGGAGTGCAGTGGCACACTCACAGCCACTGCAACCTCGACCTGCTGGGTTCAGGTGATCCTTTTGCCTCTGCCTTCCAAGTAGCTGGAACTACAGGCGTGAGTCACCACACCCAGCTCATTTTTTTATTTATTGTAGAGACGAAGTCTTGCCATGTTGTCCACATTGGTCTCAACCCCTTGGGCTCAGGCAATTCTCTCACTTCCACCTCCCAAAATGTGGGATTACAAGCGTAAGCCACCATGCCCAGCCAACCAAAGCTTTTATCTGGAAGTTTTAAGAAGGTTGGGTCATGATTTGCATAAGAAACGTCTCAAGTTGTGGCAAACAGGTAACTGGTTCTTCCACCATGACAGTGTACCTATCCACTCCACACTGTGTGTTCAGCGGTTTTTGACTGAAAGCAGCATGATTCCCATGCCTCACCCTCCCTATTCATCCAAGAAAACCCTTTTTTTTTGGTTTCCCTGGATGAAAAAAATCCTCAAAGGGAAACATTTTGCCCATATGGAAGAGGTGAAACAACAGCAGAAGCACTAAAAGGGCATACAAATTGATGAGTTCAAAAACTGTTTTGAGCAGTGGAAAAAGCATCTCAATAGATGTATTGCTTCAAACAGAGAGTACTTTAAAGGTGACTGAAATTTGAACATGTAAGAATACACAATTTTAATAAATTTCAGATTTTTGAGGGCCCTCTTCGTGTGTTTGTATTTCATATACATCATAATCTTACAGTCATGTAAGACCACATTGTCATTGCCAACAGTTCAGACACATAGTAGAGCCCATACCTCCTTGTCTGCCCACCCCCAGGTGTTGCACCCTTCTCAGAAGTGCTTCTGTGAGCAGCCAGGCTGTTCTCTTTTTTCGGGTATGCATATACAAAA